GGCATTGGGAAAGAATTTTAAGCTCTCACTGTTTTGTAGTGCTCCCAGAAAACAAGTGAGTGACGTCTTGGGCCTAATCCACCTCCTTTTGGGGTTGGTAGTTCAGGTTGTTAGGCTCATAGAGAGTCTCGGACCATCGTTTAACATCTGTGTTTCTTAATTTTACTCATTTATTGAAAGGGGATTATATCAACTTTATTTACCTTGAGAATCTTTCTGAGAATGAAAAGAGATAATTTTTTTTAGTATAAATTTTTTTAGTATAAATATATGCATTTCTACTTATCAGTAGACTGGAGTGTCAGTATAATTTCTGTGTATTCTGGAAAGTTTTGTTATTTAGAATCAGTCCAGGCTGACTTTTGGGGTTTTTTTTTAAGTAAACTTTTTATTTTGGGATACTTTTAGATTTATAGAAAAGTTCCAAGGATCATACAGAGCTCTCCCATGACCTTCACCCTGTTCCCCTAACGTTAACATTTTATGTCAATATGGCCCATCGTGAGAAGGAAGAACCCAACACTGATGCAGACTGTGGACTTTATTCAGATTTCACCAGCGTTCCTATTACTGCCTTTTTCCCGTTTCAGAACACCACATCGTATTTAGTCCCCACGTCTCGTAGTGTCTTCTGATGTTTCATAGACTGTCCTTGTTTTTCACCCATTGCCAGTTTTGAGGAATACTGGTCAGGTGCTATGCAGGCCATTCCTCAATTTGGCTATGTCTGATGTTTTCTTCTTGTGATTAAGACAGGGGAAGAGGAAAGCACCTTCTTCATTACCTACTATCAAAGGGTACATGCTATCAACATCATGGGCCACTGGTAATATTAACTTTAATTACTTGGTTCACTTTAATCACTTGGATCTAGCAGGTTTCTCCACCTGAACGTAATGATTTCTCCTTTCCATATTCTATTCCTTAAAGTAAAAGCAAATCCATTAAGTCCAACACTCACCCCAGGGAAAGGAAATTGAGTTTCACCTCCTGGAGGAAGGAGTATCTACATACATCATTTGGAATTCTTGTCTTTTTCTCCCATTTATTTATTTGTTTAATCATTTATATTTATCCTTATGGACTTGTAATTACTTTATACTTTGAGTTATTATCCAATACTACATTATTTATTTGGTTGCTTCTCTGGTAGCTCTTTCAGTTGGCTCCTACCTGTATCCCTTGGACATATTCTCATTGGTGTGGGATTTGTGTTTTCTGTTTTTTCTTGAGTACTTTCTTTCTTCTGACACTAGAAGATGCTCCAGGCTCATCTGTATATTCACTGCTTCAGCCCTAGAACTGGCAATTTCTCCAAGGACCCTGGTTCCTTTTGTTGGAAAATGGTATTAGAAACTAAGAAATGGACACCGGGCATGCTTGTAGTTACTAGCTGATGCTGATTTTTACCTAAATAAATTAAAAGTGTTTAGAGTCAAACAGATAAAGGTTTTTATTGGCTGCATTACTTTGGGCAAGTTATTTTGCCACGTTGGACCTCATGTATGTGGAAGGAAAATGAAAATTATTCCCGGCTTGCTATGTGATCCTGTGGGACATCGGAAGAATTTTGTGCTTCTGAGAATAAAGGGCTTGATCTTTTTTTTTTTTTTGGACCAAACTTCCTTCTAAAAACAGTCAAAATATTTGAAGAAAATATGGGAAATCTTTTCAAAACATCATCCAACAAGTCACTGATAAAGCCAAAATTTAAGGAAAAGTAAGAACCTGGAGAAATAAACAAGTAAGAAAATTGTATTTGCCCTAAAGACATTTGCCATATCCAGCAAATGAGAGCTTGATAGTGGTTGGGCAGGGGGTAGAACAGGGGTCCTCAAACTTTTTAAACACGGGGCCAGTTCACATCCCTCAGACATTGAGGGCCGGACTGCAGGCCCCTGGACGAGTCGGCTGCTAAGCAGGACAGGCAGCATTGACAAAAACACCTGGTAGGCTGGATAAATGTCCTAGGCGGGCTGCATGTGGCCTGCAGGCCATAGTTTGAGGACACCTGGGATAGAAGGTGATAATAGTCAATATCCAGGGCCAGAAGTAGGCAAGAAATTTAACAGATGTTTGCCATGTTCAGCTGGGATGTTATAGAACTGTAACCCTGGGGGAAGGTAAAGAAATTGCTGCCTTTATTTTAAGTATTTGGGTCTCCTAGGAAAACTCAGCTTTGAATTTGGTTTAAGTTGGGTCTCAAACTGAGAGTGCTTTCAGATGTCTTGCAAGAGAACGTACCCTCGATTTGGCCTTCACATAATGCTTACACATTATTTTTCAAAACCAAATGACCAACACACAATGAAAGATAATGAGCCACATAGCAGAAAGAACAGACAAAGGAAGTAAACAATTAGCAGTTTAAGGTATTGGAGTTACTACCTACACAGAGTATAAAACAACTATGTTTGTTGTTTCAATCAATATATGAAAAACAATACTGAATATATCTTTGGGGAACAGAAAACTAAAAAGTGGCATGTGTGATATAAAAAAGAAAACAAAAAATTTTTAAATAAACATTTTAACAACTGGAATTAAAAATTAGGGGAATGAATTAACCAGAGCACTAGATGCACTTGAAGAAATAATCAGTCAACTTGAAGAGATATCATATAAAGCACCTAGACCAGCTTCAGTAATGCCAATCATCCCAGTCTCCTTTATTCTTCTTCACAAGCACACTCCCATTTAGCGCCTCCAACTGACCAAATGTCCCAGACAGCGAAGAAAAGCTACTAATAATTTCTCTAAAGCCTTGAGATCCCTGCAAAAGGATGTGGTGGAAATGGGAAAGAAAGAAAGCTCCAATTTCTTCTCCCCTTTGGGGATACCAGAAAAGAGAGAGCGCTCAGAGATAGCAGCTCATAGAGCTGACAGAGAAGGCTTTGTGATGTCCTACAGCCTTACAGATAAAGCTTGTTCCAACGTGGCTGGCTCTGCTCTGCTTATCTTGTAGGCTGCCATGACAGTCCAGTAAATGAAAAGTGTGGAAAGCATGCTACACTGTAAGAATACCAAAGCACTGCAATGTTTTATGTGTAAGTTCATTTCTTCACAACATTCCCCTGACGGATTCTCTAATTCTATGTCACTGAAACACCCCATGACACAGATTTTAAATCTTCTCTTATGTAGTTTTGTTTTCTCTTTCTTTTAATTGCAAAGTGTTCTCTTTCCTTGTTCCCAAAGTAGGAATTCTCTTTGTGGACTGTAGTCTCCAATTGAATGCTATCAATTCTTTCCTTTCATACATGCACGTGTTACTCCTCACGCTGACCAGTGAAGCTCCGCTCCAGCCCTGAATCTGTGCCAGAGTTGTGACTTCCTCTGGCCAGTAGAATTCAGTAGGAATAACTTTATGTTAGCTCTGGGCCTAGCCTTTTAGAATTCTCCTTCTTAGAAGGCAGCTATTGTGTGAAACATCAATCACTCAGAGACTACCATCCTATGAGTAAGCTCCCAAAAGGCTATTTGGAAAGAGACAATTGTCCATCTGTCCGAGGCACCAGCCATAAGAGTGAAGACGTCATCCCGGTTACTTAGTCCCAGCAGACACTAGGTAGAAAGGACTTTCTAGCTGAGCACTGTCTAGACTGCAGAATCATGAGAAATGATGCCAGGAGTGGAATGTGTCCCCCGAAGGTTCATGTATTGGGAACTTGTTCCCTTATGCAACAGTGTTGAACGGTGGGACCTTTAAGAGGTGATTAAGTCCTGAGGGTTCTGCCCTCATGAGTGGCTTAAGGCCGTGATCACAGGAGTAGGCACCTGATAAGAGGATAAGTTCAGCTCCTCTCTCTCTCTTTTCTCATCACCAGGGGATGATGCTACTACACAAAGGTCCTTGCCAGATGCAGTCCCTTTGACTTTGAACTTTCCCTTTTCTAGAACTATAAGAAATACACTTCTGTCCTTTATAAATTGCCCATGCTGTGGTATTCTGTTGTAATAGCAAAAAAAAAAAAAAAAAAATTGACTAAGACAAATAATAAGTGGTGGCTATTTTAAGCCATAAGTTTGGGGTCATTTGTTACATAGCAATACATGACCAAAACATTATTTCATATCCTTTCTCCATAATCTCTGTTTCCCTGAAAAGGAAAAAGATTCTTCAAGGTTCTTCAGGGTCCACTGCAGTCTGGCTCCTCAGACAGGTGAAGTCTTTGTTGTTTCTTCCCCTCTCTGTCCCATTTCTATGATCACACTCATCTCATCAAGCCTGTCTGTGAAGGTTCAACTGCATTTCCTGACTCAGTTCAACTACCACTTCCACTGTGTCTTAATTATCAACTCTTCAAGTCTAGCACAGAATGACATTCACCCCGAAGACATCTGAACTCTGAATTTCTTCTTGTGGCCAGGTTCATTCAAAAACTTCCTCTCTCCTGTGAAGGTCTGTGTGTTTTTAAGGCTGTTTTGTGTCCCCAGTTACACTGAGCTCCTCGAATACAGAAACTGCATCTTACTCCTGTTCGTGTTTCAGCGTGTACCAGAGGGCTTGCGGAGAGCAGGTGCTCAGAGCATGCTCTACTGACCGGGATGCGGTTTCACATTCCTCTCTTTAGAGTAGCATGTGGTGGTGTGTCACCAGCCCCGCCTTCATTTTCAGGTGCCCTGTAGCTACCAGATCAATTTCTCATCACTACTACTGATGTACAAATGCCATAAGTCTTTCTTCTGAATATGAAGAAGTAGAAAAAAATAAAATCATCAATTTTTTTTTCTTTTGCCAAGACAAGGAAAATACCCTGATTGTCTCCTTCACTTTTCATGTCAGAAAGTCCATGTATGGTGAGTCATCCCCTTGTCATTTAAACTCTATAAAGTGTAATATGATCATGGTAGGCAATGAAAACATGTATGTGAAGTCCCAGGGGCATAAAAATTCATGAGTGGAAACCACTAAAAGATTGGCAGGACTGTTTTCTAAGAAAGCAAAGAGCTCAAGGCTGACATTCAAAGGGTTTCTTCTGCACCCCAGGGATCCTTACCTGACTCCGGATCCTTGTACTGGTGGTGGGAGTCAAGTATTTATGTTCTAAATACCAGGCCCGCTCCTGGAACACCAACCTGGTCCCATATAACAGACAAAACTATGGGATTGGGGAAGAGGAGAGAAATGGACAAATAGCAATATATTAGAAAACACTGAACCAGAGGAGGTGAAAAAGAAATAACATAATATTACTTTTCATAAAATCATAACAGCTAAGGCTTTCTTAATGCAAAATGGCCACATTAGGAAAATATGAAATATTTGAAAATGTTTATTTAAAAAAATCATTCTATGGAAAATTTATTTATTTTTATTT